TCGTATGTTCCGCCTTTTTTGTTGTTGTTTCTTCCTGTGTAGAGAAATCCCTGAGAACGTTCTGGCTGACAATTACTGAAGGTTCCACACAATCAACTATAACAGTAGAAAGTCTAATTTCTATGATTCACATGCACAGAGGGAGGTGACACTGGCCGAGTCGGAAAACACCACGATGATGGCGGCTGTATATAGATGAGAGTGGACTGATATACTGATACACTGTGTGTGTGCGCGTGTGTGTGTTGAAGCTTTTTGGAGAGGGGGGGTGCAAGTACTGATGCCAGGGCAGTGACGTACAGCAGAGCCAAGGGCAGAAACACTTAGCGGGAATCTGAAGCTTCCTCATAACCTCGGTCTCACTGATGAATCCCCCTGTTTAATTAACACTGTCAGCTATCATAGACGATAACAATCACAATAGCAAATAAAAAAAGAAGAAAAAAAATAATCTGGGAGCAGTTCAATACCGTATCATGAGGTAGTCGTCTGCCTCTGGGGTTCTGCTTCAGCTTGAAGTAGCTGAAGCTGAAGCTATAACAAGAATACTCATTATCTTTGTCTATAGCGCCTGCATTACTGTCTTCTGTCTGGAACAGGTACTCATTATGGAGGTGGGTAAGATTATAACAATATCAACAACACGAGTTAGCTGAGAGCATTGTTGTGTATAATGAAGCTAATGCCTGGAACTCAGAGAAAACTAATGGCTGCTCCAGTGCTGCTGCTTCTGCTGCTACTGCTGCTGTGTCTGGAGAAAATGCTGATAGCGGCTTTTCTTTCAGTGCTAACCCAAGCTGTGCCGAGCCAAGCTAAGCTGTGCAGTGCTGGCCAGCGCCCGCCGGTGAGGGCGTGGACAGAGGGAGGTGCTCTGTGTGTTTTGAGTGTGTTTTTTTAAAGCCTTAGTTTCTCTTTGAGGATACCAAGTTTTCTCTTTTTTTTTTTTGTTGTGTTTTTTTCCTCTTTTTTTTTCTTTTTTAACATGAGCGCCATTGTAGAAGGGCTTCAGCCACTTGACAACATGTAACTCAATATACACTGAAACGGGAGGGAGGGGGGGAGATGCTTTAAATCATTAGAGGAACGAAAAGGAACGGAAAGAAAAAAAAAAGCCGTTTCGCTTTCGTTTTCGTCTCGCACACATGTAGAGAAATACACACAACATTCACAATGTGACAAATTTCCTCTCTTCTGAAAAATAAAAACACTTCTGTACACATAGTAGTAATAATATTATTATTAATAATAATAATAGTAATAATGTTTATGACAATAACAACAGCAAGAACAATAATACCGCGTGTGGCTCTGTTGATTTTTTTGTCATCTTTTCCTTTCTCTTTTTTGCTTCATTCTACAAGTCGCATCCCTCTTTTTTTTTTTACTTGTCTATTTTTAATCAGTCCAAAAAGAAGTTCAAAAGGCAGACTCAAGTTAATAGAAAAGTACTAGAGTGGGAGGAGGGCGGGGAGGGGCGGGCTTTTTCACCACCTCCCCTTCGGCCTCGCCCTCAGCCGAACCTCTCCCTCACTAGCATCATTAGTTTCTTTTTGCCCTTGTAGATCTGTTTCAGGTTGTCTATGAATTGGGTGAACTGAATGTGTCCGTCGTGAGCCATCATGAAAGTCTCCCGGGCTTTCCCCAGGAACTCGATGAACTCGCTATAGTGGCGCGGGCTGATGTGCGTGAGCCGTGAGTGCGTGGTGTTGATGTAGGCCCCAATGGTTGCGTCCAGCAGCTGCCTGAGCGGCGCTTTGTCCAGCGACATCAGCTTCCCAGAATTCCTGCGGCTGTGCAGCGCCGACACCATGCCCGGCGTGGTCAGCGTGCACCGCCGCAAAATGTCAGACAGCACGGTGGCGCACTTGACGCTCTTGACCACCAGGGGGATTACAGCCGCTAGCTCGTTCTTCCCCAGCGAGTGGCTGAGCGCGCA